TTCTTTTCATTCTTCTTCTTCTTCTTTTCATTCTTCTTTTCATTCTTCTTTTCATTCTTCTTCTTCTTCTTTTCATTCTTCTTCTTCTTCTTTTCATTCTTCTTCTTCTTCTTTTCATTCTTCTTTTCATTCTTCTTCTTCTTCTTCTTTTCATTCTTCTCATTCTTCTTTTCATTCTTCTTCTTTTCATTCTTCTTCTTCTTCTTTTCATTCTTCTTTTCATTCTTCTTCTTCTTCTTTTCATTCTTCTTCTTCTTTTCATTCTTCTTTTCATTCTTCTTCTTCTTCTTTTCATTCTTCTTCTTCTTCTTTTCATTCTTCTTTTCATTCTTCTTCTTCTTCTTTTCATTCTTCTTTTCATTCTACTTCTTCTTCTTTTCATTCTTCTTCTTCTTCTTTTCATTCTTCTTTTCATTCTTCTCATTCTTCTTTTCATTCTTCTTTTCATTCTTCTTTTCATTCTTCTTTTCATTCTTCTTCTTCTTCTTTCATTCTTCTTCTTCTTATCATTCTTCTTCTTCTTCTTTTCATTCTTCTTTTCATTCTTCTTCCTCTTCTTTTCATTCTTCTTCTTCTTCTTTTCATTCTTCTTTTCATTCTTCTTCTTTTTCTTTTCATTCTTCTTCTTCTTCTTTTCATTCTTCTTTTCATTCTTCTTCTCATTCTTCTTCTTCTTCTTTTCATTCTTCTTCTTCTTCTTTTCATTCTTCTTTTCATTCTTCTTCTTCTTTCTTTTCATTCTTCTTCTTCTTCTTTTCATTCTTCTTCTTCTTCTTTCGTCGTGCCCCGTGACTGCCCAAATGAGTGAAGTGTGCGGTGATTCTAAGATCGACGGCACTCATCTGCATGTCATACTGACTGACAGTATTATTTCTCTTCCCCAGCAGACTCCAAGGGCATTTAAATTAAAGGTACAGTGTTCTGCACTAATATAAAGGCTCTCTGAAGCCTAGAAACCCTTTTAATAAGTTAAATTCGCAGCGAATAAATTCGCATCGAATCGAATTTATTCCGCAAATTCGGCGAATCAGCCGAATTGAATTTTTGAATAATTCGCTCATCTCTACCCATAACCCTAACATGCAATTTTGGTCACATAAAGGTCCCTGCACTACTTTGATGCTACTTGAGTGCCGGAGAGTGTAAAGTTGCAGCAAAGCAGGATCAAAGGCGCTCTACATGAACAGAACTGTCACACTTTTCTATTAGCAAAAAAAACATGCAAAACCCGGCAAAAATGCGGCAAAAACAAATTATCATTTTTGGGTGCGAGTCAATTGAAGTCTTTTATGTGCAAAACACAATCTGCTGCGGGACAAAAAATGTTCCTGATCATTTCCAAATAAAATGCATCGGCTCTCCAAAAACACATAGATGTGAGGTAGTTCCATAAATGTGAACCTAGGAGGTGTGAACCCCAAGAGTACCTGGCGATCCTACCAGGAAGACCTATTCAGACACTTCCTGTTATAAGGTGACATCTGTCTCCCAATCGTGATCCTGTGTTGTCACCCCATGCTATGCTCTGCTGGTGATTACAGACAGCTGTGCCACAACACATTGCACAGACATGGTCCACCATTACCTCTATCAGGGAGCCGGTCCAGATCGATGTTGAGCAGCCAAATGCTGGAAGCGAGTGCATGTAGACAGGAAGTGCCTGAAAGAGGCTGGAGGAGATCAGCGGAACAGAGATACAAAAAAAAGCAAATTAATGTCACACACCTCCGAGTGTGGATCACTTTTCAGAGGAGCACTTGTAAACGAACCCTTATAGCAACACCACCATCACCCATAGGAACCAATCAGAGCTTCGCTTCCCTTTTATAAGGTTCACAGAACTGTCTAAAGAGCCACACAGTAACAAAACCCAATAAATCTTCTATTCTTTATTTGAATGTATCAAGGAAAAAAAAAAGGCCGGGATGGAATTGTACTTTAAGTGGAAAGATAATAACCGTTACAGACTAACAGTCCTAAGTGAAGCATCGGGGAAATCTGTCAATATATAGCTATTTTCTGCAGCAGTGACCACCACTTGTCTTGGAGTCTATAGAGCTGAACCCAACACATCGCTCCTGTCACATGATCCATTCAGTTCCCATTTATTGATACCTTATGCTCTTCAGTAACGCTCCATCTTCTGTGTGTCTCACGACATCCTCAGTATTCTTCCAATGTTCCCTTTCAGCGTTTAATACTTGATTACATCCGACTTCTATACAGCCATGACTAGAGATGAGCGAATCGAACCAGGCGAAGTGGAATTCGTTTTGAATATTAGGAAAAATTCGATTTGCGTCGAATCCGAATATTAGCAAACTTCGGATGCGCGAATCGAATTTTCCCTGATCGGCCGATTTTCATCCCTTCTACAGCCGGCAAAAAGTGTCCCTGCAGAGAGCTCCGCTATTTCTGACAGTTCTCTGACAGTTCCTTCACATTTACAGCGGTTGAAACATTGTATCTATTTGTTTCCATTTAGGATACAGATGGTTTTTATTCGGAAACAAATAGATACAATGTTTCAACCGCTGTAAATGTGAAGGAACTGTCAGAGAACTGTCAGAAATAGCGGAGCTCTCTGCAGGGACACTTTTTGCTGCACTGGAATTCTTCTTCATCCTCATCCTACTTCTTCTTCTTCTTCTTCTTCATCCTCATCCTACTTCTTCTTCTTCTTCTTCATCCTCATCCTTCTTCTTCTTCTTCTTCTTCTTCATCCTCATCCTACTTCTTCTTCTTCTTCATCCTCATCCTACTTCTTCTTCTTCTTCCTCATCCTACTTCTTCTTCTTCATCCTCATCCTACTTCTTCTTCTTCTTCTTCATCCTCATCCTACTTCTTCTTCTTCATCCTCATCCTACTTCTTCTTCTTCTTCTTCATCCTCATCCTACTTCTTCTTCTTCTTCATCCTCATCCTACTTCTTCTTCTTCATCCTCATCCTACTTCTTCTTCTTCTTCCTCATCCTACTTCTTCTTCTTCTTCTTCATCCTCATCCTACTTCTTCTTCATCCTCATCCTACTTCTTCTTCTTCTTCATCCTCATCCTACTTCTTCTTCTTCTTCTTCATCCTCATCCTACTTCTTCTTCTTCTTCTTCTTCATCCTCATCCTACTTCTTCTTCTTCTTCTTCTTCTTCTTCATCCTACTTCTTCTTCGTCTTCTTCATCATCCTCATCCTACTTCTTCTTCTTCTTCTTCTTCATCCTCATCCTACTTCTTCTTCTTCTTCATCATCCTCATCCTACTTCTTCTTCTTCTTCTTCTTCATCCTCTTCTTCTTCATCCTCATCCTACTTCTTCTTCTTCTTCATCCTCATCCTACTTCTTCGTCTTCTTCTTCTTCTTCTTCATCCTCATCCTACTTCTTCTTCTTCTTCTTCTTCTTCATCCTCATCCTACTTCTTCTTCTTCTTTCTTCTTCTTCATCATCCTCATCCTACTTCTTCTTCTTCATCCTCTTCTTCTTCTTCATCCTCATCCTACTTCTTCTTCTTCTTCTTCTTCTTCATCCTCATCCTTCTTCTTCTTCTTCTTCTTCATCCTCATCCTACTTCTTCTTCTTCATCATCCTCATCCTACTACAGTGTTCTGCACTAATATAAAGGCTCTCTGAAGCCTAGAAACCCTTTTTATAAGTTAAATTTGCAGCGAATAAATTCGCATCAAATCGAATTTATTCCACAAATTCGGCGAATCAGCCGAATCAAATTTTTGAATAATTCGCTCATCTCTAGTCATGACAGCCACCTAGACCAGCCTTTCCCAGCCTTTTCAACAGAGAGGAACCCTAGAAATAACTTTCCGGTCTCAGGGAACCCCTACTGATAATGACTATATCTACAACACATGGTTCATTAGTCTGATGATCAATGGGAAGAATGTCCCTTACATTGGGGGTCAGTAGGAAGAATGTCCCTTACATTGGGGGTCAGTGAGAAGAATGTCCCTTACATTGGGGGGTCAGTGGGAAGAATGTCCTTACATTGGGGGTCAGTGAGAAGAATGTCCCTTACATTGGGGGGTCAGTGGGAAGAATGTCCCTTACATTGGGGGGTCAGTGGGAAGAATGTCCCTTACATTGGGGGTCAGTGGGAAGAATGTCCCTTACATTGGGGGGTCAGTGGGAAGAATGTCCCTTACATTGGTGGTCAGTGGGAAGAATGTCCCTTACATTGGGGGGTCAGTGGGAAGAATGTCCCTTACATTGGGGGGTCAGTGGGAAGAATGTCCCTTACATTGGTGATCAGTGGGAAGAATGTCCCTTACATTGGGGGTCAGTGGGAAGAATGTCCCTTACATTGGGGGTCAGTGGGAAGAATGTTCCTTACTTTGGAGGTCAGTGGGAAGAATGTCCCTTACATTGGTGATCAGTGGGAAGAATGTTCCTTACATTGGTGATCAGTGGGAAGAATGTCCCTTACATTGGGGGTCAGTGGGAAGAATGTCCCTTACATTGGGGGTCAGTGGGAAGAATGTTCCTTACATTGTGGAAGAATGTCCCTTACATTGGGGGTCAGTGGGAAGAATGTCCCTTACATTGGTGATCAGTGGGAAGAATGTCCCTTACATTGGGGGTCAGTGGGAAGAATGTCCCTTACATTGGTGGTCAGTGTGAAGAATGTCCCTTACATTGGTGGTCAGTGAGAAGAATGTCCCTTACATTGGGGGTCAGTGGGAAGAATGTTCCTTACATTGGTAGTCAGTGGGAAGAATGTTCCTTACATTGGTAGTCAGTGGGAAGAATGTCCCTTACATTGGTGGTCAGTGGGAAGAATGTTCCTTACATTGGTGATCAGTGGGAAGAATGCTCCTTACATTGGTGGTCAGTGGAAGAATGTCCCTTACATTGGGGGTCAGTGAGAAGAATGTCCCTTACATTGGGGGTCAGTGGGAAGAATGCTCCTTACATTGGTGATCAGTGGGAAGAATGTCCCTTACGTTAGTGGTCAGTGGTAAGAATGTCCCTTACATTGGTGGTCAGTGGGAAGAATGTCCCTTACATTGGGGGTCAGTGGGAAGAATGTCCCTTACATTGGTGGTCAGTGGGAAGAATGTCCCTTACATTGGTGATCAGTGGGAAGAATGTCCCTTACATTGGGGATCAGTGGGAAGAATGTCCCTTACATTGGTGGTCAGTGGGAAGAATGTCCCTTACATTGGGGGTCAGTGGGAAGAATGTCCCTTACATTGGTGGTCAGTGTGAAGAATGTCCCTTACATTGGTGGTCAGTGAGAAGAATGTCCCTTACATTGGGGGTCAGTGGGAAGAATGTTCCTTACATTGGTAGTCAGTGGGAAGAATGTTCCTTACATTGGTGGTCAGTGGGAAGAATGTTCCTTACATTGGTGGTCAGTGGGAAGAATGTTCCTTACATTGGTGATCAGTGGGAAGAATGCTCCTTACATTGGTGGTCAGTGGAAGAATGTCCCTTACATTGGGGGTCAGTGAGAAGAATGTCCCTTACATTGGGGGTCAGTGGGAAGAATGCTCCTTACATTGGTGATCAGTGGGAAGAATGTCCCTTACGTTAGTGGTCAGTGGTAAGAATGTCCCTTACATTGGTGGTCAGTGGGAAGAATGTCCCTTACATTGGTGATCAGTGGGAAGAATGTCCCTTACATTGGGGATCAGTGGGAAGAATGTCCCTTACATTGGTGGTCAGTGGGAAGAATGTCCCTTACATTGGTGATCAGTGGGAGGAATGCTCCTTACATTGGTGGTCAGTGGGAAGAATGTCCCTTACATTGGGGGTCAGTGAGAAGAATGTCCCTTACATTGGGGGTCAGTGGGAAGAATGCTCCTTACATTGGGGGTCAGTGGGAAGAATGTCCCTTACATTGGGGTCAGTGGGAAGAATGTCCCTTACATTGGAGGTCGGTGGGAAGAATGTCCCTTACATTGGAGGTCGGTGGGAAGAATGTCCCTTACATTGGGGGTCAGTGGGAAGAATGTCCCTTACATTGGGGGTCAGTGGGAAGAATGTCCCTTACATTGGGGGGTCAGTGGGAGGAATGTCCCTTACATTGGGGGTCAGTGGGAAAAATGTCCCTTACATTGGTGATCAGTGGGAAGAATGTCCCTTACATTGGTGATCAGTGGGAAGAATGTCCCTTACATTGGGGGTCAGTGGGAAGAATGTCCCTTACATTGGGGGTCAGTGGGAAGAATGCTCCTTACATTGGGGGTCAGTGGGAAGAATGTCCCTTACGTTAGTGGTCAGTGGTAAGAATGTCCCTTACATTGGTGGTCAGTGGGAAGAATGTCCCTTACATTGGTGATCAGTGGGAAGAATGTCCCTTACATTGGTCGTCAAGGGGAAGAATGTCCCTTACATTGGTGGTCAGTGGGAAGAATGTCCCTTACATTGGAGATCAGTGGGAAGAATGTCCCTTACATTGGGGGTCAGTGGGAAGAATGTCCCTTACATTGGAGGTCGGTGGGAAGAATGTCCCTTACATTGGAGGTCGGTGGGAAGAATGTCCCTTACATTGGAGGTCGGTGGGAAGAATGTCCCTTACATTGGAGGTCGGTGGGAAGAATGTCCCTTACATTGGGGGTCAGTGGGAAGAATGTCCCTTACATTGGCGGTCAGTGGGAAGAATGTCCCTTACATTGGGGGTCAGTGGGAAGAATGTCCCTTACATTGGTGATCAGTGGGAAGAATGTCCCTTACATTGGTGATCAGTGGGAAGAATGTCCCTTACATTGGGGGTCAGTGGGAAGAATGTCCCTTACATTGGTGGTCAGTGGGAAGAATGTCCCTTACATTGGTGGTCAGTGGGAAGAATGCCCCTTATGATTGTGGTCATTGGGAAGAATTCCCTCCTTACAGGTAGTTAATAGGATCAATGGTGTCAGTGAGATTTTATCTGAGGGGCAGAAATTGCTCATTGATCAAGGAACCCCTAGCAATCTCTGGAGGAACCTTAGGGAACCCTGGTTGAGAAGCCCTGGCCTAGACTATACCAGGGTCTAATACTAGACAAGAATTATACCACCACCATCGCCCAGGGAACCCCGTTAGACCTTCGCTTTCTTTTTACAATGTTCACAAAATTGTCCAAAGAGCAAGCAAAGCTGGAAGGTTAAATCAAAAAACTATTGAAAACATTTCCCCAAGAATTCCATGTGCTATGCAAGAAGCATACTGTATAGTGTGTAATGTATTTATTATACTGAGGACTAGAAAATACATATTTTAAAATATATCTTTAATTGGGAAAAAAAACATTGCGAATGATTATTTTATTTATACCACTTGCAGCCAGCAGGGGGCACACTTAAGGCTGTTTTCAATCTTCCACTTGAGTAGTTTACTGCTTTTTTGTGAATAGCCTGTAATTTGATCTGATTTAGAGCTATCCACCACAAAAACTCAACGAGGAAGAGTGCAATCCCTCCCCTCTGCTACAGCATATGGATTTTCAAGAAGAGAGAGGTGGTTGAAAAGTGAGATGACAGTGCTGGGCTTTCTTATTAGGATGCTTTTGTCAGATTTAATTGCTACCTGTCTCCTTGTTAGGGAGATTTTTCACTGTAAGAGTTTTGGTAATCAGGCAAATAATCAGGCAGGTAGTGATTGTAACTTACTTTTTTAAAAAAAAATGAAGATCCAAGGGTTCACAGTTTTCAGTTCATAAGAGCCGCTCAGGCCTAATGGAGGACCCACCCAATGATTCAGCTAAGGAAGTAAAGGAAGAACCCAAACTCTCTCATCAGTTCATGAGTGGTGATCAGGCCTAATGGAGGACCCACCCAATGATGCAGCTAAGGAAGTAAAGGAAGAACCCAAACTCTCTCATCAGTTCATGAGTGGTGATCAGTCCTCATGGAAGAACCACCCAATTATGCTGCTAAGGAAGTAGAAGAAGAACCCAAACTTGCATTCAAACTGCAGGAAAAAAATGTATGTATAAGGAGTTTTTCAAAAATGATGATCCAAGGGTGGCTTTACTGGTAGTGGTGAGAGTAGAGGAAGAACTTGTGAAGTAATTGAACTTGAATATAGACTACAGGAAACGTATGTACAGGCTATTTTTCAAAAATGAAGATCCAAGGGTTCACAGTATTCAGTTCATGAGAGGACTCACCCAATGATGCAGCTAAGGAAGTAAAGGAAGAACCCAAACTCACTCATCAGTTCATGGGTGGCGTTCAGCCCTCATCGAAGAACCACCCAATGATTCTGCTAAGGAAGTAGAAGAAGAACCAAAACTTTCATATAGTCTGCAGGAAAAAATGTATGTAGAGTATAAGGTGTTTTTCAAAAATGAAGATCCAAGGGTTCACAGAATTCAGTTCATGAGAGCCATTCGGTCCTCAAAGAGGAACCTAAGGAAGAAACACCCAATGATGCTGCTAAGGACATAGAGCAAGAACCCAAACCCACTCATCAGTTGATGAGTGCTGTTTAGTCCTCATGGAAGAACCACCTAATGATGCTGCTAAGGAAGTAAAGGAAGCACTCATGAAGTCACTGAACTTGAATATAGACTACAGGAAACATATTATACGTATATATGTATAGGCTGTTTTTCAAACATGAAGATCCAAGGGTTCACAGTATTCAGTTCATGAGATCTGATTCAGTCCTCAAGGAGGACCACCCAATGATGCTACTAAGGAAGTAGAAGAAGAACACAAACTTGCATATGCTGGCTTAGGAAGTAAAGCAAGAACCCAAACTCACTCATCTGTTCATGAGTGGCGATCAGTCCTCGTGGAAGAACCACCCAATGATGCTACTAAGGAAGTAGACAAAGAACGCAAACTTGCATACAGACTGCAGGAAAAAATGTATGTATGTATAAGGAGTTTTTCAAAAATGATGATCCAAGGGTGGCTTTACTGGTAGTGGTGAGAGTAGAGGAAGAACTCATGAAGTCACTGAACTTGAATATAGACTACAGGAAACATATTGTATGTACAGGCTATTTTTCAAAAATGAAGATCCAAGGGTTCCAGTATTCAGTTCATGAGAGCCGATCATTCCTCAAGGAGGACCCACCTAATGATGCAGCTAATGAAGTAAAAGAAGAACCCAGAGTCACTCATCAGTTCAAGAGTGGCGTTCAGTCCTCGTGGAAGAACCACCAAATGATGCTGCTAAGGAAGTAGAAGAAGAACACAAACTTGCATATAGACTGCAGGAAAAAATGTATGTACAGTATAAGGTGTTTTTTAAAAATGAAGATTCAAGGGTTCACAGTATTCAGTTTCATGAGAGTCATTCAGTCCTCAAAGAGGAACCTAAGGAAGAAACACCCAATGATGCTGCTAAGGATGTAGAGCAAGAACCCAAACCCACTCATCAATTGATAAGTGCTGTTTAGTCCTCATGGAAGAACCGCCCAACGATGCTGCTAAGGAAGTAAAGGAAGCATTCATGAAGTCACTGAACTTCAATATAGACTACAGGAAAACATATTGTATCTATAGGCTGTTTTTCAAACATGAAGATCCAGGGGTTCACAGTATTCAGTTCATGAGAGCCGATCAGTCCTCAAGGAGGACCCACCCAATGATGCAGCTAAGTTAGTAAAGCAAGAAGCCAAACTCACTCATCAGTTCATGAGTGGCATTCAGTCCTCATGGAAGAACCACCCAATGATGCTACTAAGGAAGTAGAAGAAGAACACAAACTTGCATATAGACTGGAGGAAAAAATGTATGTAGAGTATAAGGTGTTTTTCAAAAATAAAAATTCAATGGTTCACATTATTCAGTTCATGAGAGCCATTCAGTCCTCAAAGAGGAACCTAAGGAAGAAACACCCAATGATGCTGCTAAGGGCGTAAAGGAAGAATCAAAACCCACTCATCAGTTGATAAGTGCTGTTTTTAGTCCTCATGGAAGAACCGTCCAATGATGCTGCTAAGGAAGTAAAGGAAGCACTCATGGTCACTGAACTTCAATATAGACTACAGGAAACATATTGTACGTATAGGCTGTTTTTCAAACATGAAGATCCAGGGGTTCACAGTATTCAGTTCATGAGAGCTGATCAGTCCTCAAGGAGGACCCACCCAATGATGCAGCTTAGGAAGTAAAGGAAGAACCCAAACTCACTCATCAGTTCATGAGTGGCGATCAGTCCTTGTGGAAGAACCACCCAATGATGCTACTAAGGAAGTAGAAGAAGAATCCAAACTTGCATACAGACTGCAGGAAAAAATGTATGTATAAGGAGTTTTTCAAAAATAATGATCCAAGTGTGGCTTTACTGGTAGTGGTGAGAGTAGAGGAAGAACTCATGAAGTCACTGAACTTGAATATAGACTACAGGAAACGTATGTACAGGCTATTTTTCAAAAATGAAGATCCAGGGGTTCACAGTATTCAATTCATGACAGCCTATTAGTCCTCAAGGAGGACCCACCCAATGATGCAGCTAATGAAGTAAAAGAAGAACCCAAACTCGCTCATCAGTTCATGAGTGGTGATCAGTCCTTGTGGAAGAACCACCCAATGATGCTGCTAAGGGAGTAGAAGAAGAACACAAACTTGCATATAGACTGCAGGAAAAAATGTATGTACCTTATAAGGTGTTTTTCAAAAATGAAGATCCAAGGGTTCACATTATTCAGTTCATGAGAGCCATTCAGTCCTCAAAGTGTAACCTAAGGAAGAAACACCCAATGATGCTGCTAAGGACGTAAAGGAAGAATCGAAACCCACTCATCAGTTGATAAGTGCTGTTTAGTCCTCATCGAAGAACCGCCCAATGATGCTGCTAAGGAAGTAAAGGAAGCACTCATGAAGTCACTGAACTTGAATATAGACTACAGGAAATATATTGTACGTATAGGCTGTTTTCCAACCATGAATATCCAAGGGTTCACAGTATTCAGTTCATGAGAGCCGATCAGTCCTCAAGGAGGACCCACCCAATGATGCTGCTAAGGAAGTAAAGGAAGAACCCAAACTCACTCATCAGTTCATGAGTGGCGATCAGTCCTTGTGGAAGAACCAGCCAATGATGCTGCTAAGGAAGTAGAAGAAGAACCCAAACTTGCATATAGACTGCAGGAAAAAATTTATGTACAGTATAAGGTGTTTTTAAAAAATTAAGTTCCAAGGGTTCACAGTATTCAGTTCATGAGAGCCATTCAGTCCTCAAAGAGGAACCTAAGGAAGAAACACCCAATGATGCTGCTAAGGACATAGAGCAAGAACCCAAACCCACTCATCAGTTGATGAGTGCTGTTTAGTCCTCATGGAAGAACTGCCCAACGATGCTGCTAAGAAAGTAAAGGAAGCATTCATGAAGTTACTGAACTTGAATATAGACTAAAGGGAAACGTATTGTATGTATAGCCTGTTTTTCAAACATGAAGACCCAAGGGTTCACAGAGAGCTGATCAGTCCTCAAGGAGGTCCCACCCAATGATGCTGCTAAGGAAGTAGGGGAAGAACTCAACTCACTCATCAGTTCATGAGTGGCATTCAGCCTTGTGGAAGAACCACCCAATGATGCTGCTAAGGACGTAGAGCAAGAACCCAAACCCACTCATCAGTTGAAGATGAAGATCCAAGGGTTCACAGTATTCAGTTCATGAGAGCCGATCAGTCCTCAAGGAGGACCCACCCAATGATGTTGCTAAGGAAGTAAGTGAAGAATCCAAACTCACTCATCAGTTGAAGATGAAGTTCCAAGGGTTCACAGTATTCTGTTCATGAGAGCCGATCAGTCCTCAAGGAGGACCCACCCAATGATGTTGCTAAGGAAGTAGAGCAAGAACCCAAACTCACTCATCAGTTGAAGATGAAGTTCCAAGGGTTCACAGTATTCTGTTCATGAGAGCCGATCAGTCCTCAAGGAGGACCCACCCAATGATGTT